CCCATTTAATTGAGGAAGATAAAATAGACAAAATTTTGAGTGGTAGCGTATTATAACAAATTAATAACAAAAACTAATATAACCTGCTATCAAATTATATATGATCGACACAATCAGGTTTTGCTAGTCGAACAGCTTTATGTCAATTTGCCCTAATGTCCTATCCTTAAATCTGTTAGCAAACTGCTAATATTACTATCAATTACTATTAAGATTTTGTTTATTGAATACATTATTTGATTTATTTATTTCAGGATAAGACAGTCTTATCGTACATAGCGTACGTTTTAGAAGTACCTGATTTAGATGTGGTTAATTTAGCTCTAGAGATTCTGGAGATACTTGTTAAGAATGTAGACAATTATATACACATTACGTCTACTTTTGGTGTGCGCGAATCCTTGGAGGCAATTATTAACAAGTACAGCTTGAATGAACCAAAGGTAGCCGGTCGAGCGCAGCACGTCAAAGATGACATAGAGCGTATGAAACCGCCTATATATAATTTGCGCAGTCGTTGCAGGCGAGTTATAGAGCCCAAAAAGTTAAAGACACATGTAATAGTTTTACATGTTCAGGGTTTGTTACCAGTAAGTAATAGTATTGATTGTATCTATTTTAGTTTATTAATATCATATGTGAAAACATAATTATAAAAATAGCTATACATTGGAGAGTATAATAAAATAATCAAAATAATTAGGAGACCCGAGCCGAGTTGGAAGGAATATTAATAAGAATTGAAGGTCTTATTTCGCTTGTTGTTGATGTAGAGCATCAACGTGTAACTATGCGCACTTTGAATTATGTCACCGCTAAACAGATTGCAGAAGCGATCGACACACATACTGACAATATGGAAGCAAGATTGGTTATGAAAAACAAATTTAATCAAGAGTTTCTTGTAACGTTGGTAAGGATTATTATTACAGCTATATCTGTGATTTATAGTTGTTTTTATATGATAGGCGGGTATGTTTCGTATTGATTATGATGAATCTTTTTCAGATACAAGTAGGCGATACTGACAGCGAAGGATTGCCTGATTACTTGCCCGAGGAGGAAGAAGAAGATGATAAGGAGGGAGTTGTGTCATTATTTACTGGTTTAAAGCAAAGCGCTTCATCTTTATATAAATCTACCACAGAGTTTCTAAGTAGTTCATTCTATTGGTAGAATTTCTAACTGTAAAAAAGATTATTGTAATAACAGTTTTATTTATTTGAAATTAATTATTGTTTATCTGTCTCTTCAAGGAAGGGGTGAAAACAATTCATGTGAATAGGATACATTACCTCAATAGATGTATAACAAAGAAAAAGACTTATGAAATATTTTTTAGCTATAATCAGTTAATTGTAATTATTTAAGAATTGTATACTTCTATCAAGATGTTCATAATTAATAATGACTAAAGGGAAATCATTAATCGCAAAAATCAAAATTGATTTTTGCGATTTATAATAAATAATACTTTATACTCTCTTCATCTATCTTGAAAATTAATATGTACGGAGTTTTAAGTCTATATTTATAAAAAGAAGAGACATATTTTATTTGTATACAAAATAACTTTTTTATTTTTCGTATTTTGACAATTGTGCATGTTCTATTTAATGATATAGCACATGTAAACCAATTATGTATACACACTCGGATCTTTTATTACGATCTCAGAGACTTCTAATATGATAATATGTAAATAAATAAATTCCAATGTGTGCTACATATGCACTAAAGATCTAATATATATAAAATATATGTGATATTATATTCAAGCCATAATGCAGCTCAGCAGCTTTTGCAATCAAATAATAAAATAAAAGAATTCGAAAACTTAATTTTTTCAATTATTTCGAGAAAATTGTTTATAAGTTTATTTTTAGATAATGTATTTATGAATATTTCTTTGTAAAATAAACAAGTGATTCTTTAAAGTTTAAGTAATCGTCGGAATAGCGCGCGCGCGCGCGCGCGTGTGTGTGTGTGTGTGTGTGTGTGTGTGACAATACCATGATTTATTTTAACTCAAATTAAAGCAATTGTATAGAATCATTGGCTGCGTTTAGCAGAGAAAGCAGCTTTGCAACTGTTGTAAAATTCTTCAATATGATTGGTTTGTACATTTAGATCTATAAGGAACCAAAAGCAAGAACCAATCATATTGAAGAATTTTACAACAGTTGCAAAGCTGCTTTCTCTGCTGAACGCAGCCATTGAAAAACTATTCGAAAATGGTATATTTAAGATATTCTTCTTTTCGAATATTTCAGCTGTTCACATAACTTTATATGCACACAATCTTTATATGCGACGCAATATATATGTTGGATTTGTACAAAGAATATGAAATATAAAATGTTGTATAAATCAACTTTATTTTATAACACAAATTTTGTGTACTGCTTCTATTATTATATAATAATAGAACTAGTCAGTTTTTTAGCTGCCACTGCACAAAAAGGAACAATTTATGCAACTACTCGCATAAGTATGATGGATACAATACGTATGATTACTACAAAGTACATCTCTCTCTATTTATAATATGTCTCGTAAATTATTTCGTTCAGATGAGCACATCAAAATCATTATTCTACTTTATCTTTTACGCTTATTCGCTAAGTTCCCGTTGTATTGTCTATATTTACAGATACAGATGTATATAATTGTCATTAAGGCAATTTGAGTTTCAAAGCAGGTACAATAGATGGATGCAAAACATCATTTCTTTCCTGTAATCGAGTAAACGAAATAGTTCGTAGACACATGCGTATGGAACAGAGAGATAGAACTTACAATAATTATTAGTACCAGTAGTTCGCGGAATGAGTATGAGGTTCGCGTGCAGTCCAGTGCTATTGTTGAGCTTCGTTTTGAAACTCGCGTAACCTGCACCACTATTTAACTATTTCGCGCAATACAACTCACTTCTTAAACTATACATTAAATGCTTAGGCTGAAATCAATAAGTACATAGTCATTATAGACTTACGCTCTCTGGCTCTTGTTGGCTGTGAAGTAAAAAAAAAGAATTAAGTTTCTTACGTATGAGCATATGTTTTGAAAAATACATACGATAGCACAATATGTACCTTCCTATTGTAAATATAGTAACTTCCGAGGAAAGAAGTTTCGCATTTTTGTATTTTTCCTTACTTTTCGATTTTTGCCTAACATCTTCGTATCCATAATATATTGCAAATATAAAAGATCATACAGGTACAACATCTTTCAATACATGCTTCAAAGACTAAATTGCGTATTATTATCAATTCTCTAACTTTCACTAGACACTTCGACACCGTCGATGCATGCAAATTGCCATAGGCACTTATGTCATAATAAAATTTGTTAACATTACGTTGTACATTTTATTCTGTTTTTCGAGAGGTTTACTAAATTCCTTTTCTTTAAGAGAATGCATTTAAACTGTGCATGTACATAATATCATTAACTAGATGCTTTCATAACTATGAAGGCATCTTACTATTTACAGCTGCCTTTCCATTTCGTCAAACATAAACACATACATAAGCAGGGAAATATATGAATTCAAAGAGTTGTTGACTGCCTGGATTTTTCAAAACTTATTTCTATGGCAATGGGTATGCACAGTTTGAATTTGAAATTAAATTTGTGACTTAGAGTACACATGCATATTCAGAAAAAGAATTATGAATGCTAAATATTAGATATCATGGAAGAATTAAATACATGATTTTCTTTTATCTGCAGAGTATACCGGGTACAGCTTATAATTTATATAATGACAATTATTATAATAAATTTAATGAGTGTTAAGCATAAAAAGCTCGATGTAGCGATTTCGAATCACATTAATGTAATTCGAATCATATTAATGTAATCATTGCATAGGAAATAATATCCTTCGAAGCAGTATCTAGATTTGTTGAACGAGAATTACACTACATCTACACTCATGTTGTATATGCCAAAAAATTTTGCGTATAACTCAAATAAACTTGAGCAATATTAATCTGATTTTGTAGCAATTTATGTATGCAACTGATCAAACATTGATTAAGAATGCTTTCGAAAACTATTTGAATTTAATAATCAATCAAGAATATAGTCTCAAATTCTCGAATTATTTGCTTGTTGAATTATTTGTTTCCTAAATAATATTATATACCTTTTAATATATGTATGTATAGATGTTTTATATGAAGATGAATATGTGAATGCAAGTATATATATATATATCTATATATATGTGTGTGTGTGTGTATGTCAGTATATAGGTGTGTGTGTGTACATATATGAATAGATATCTACAATATGCAACATAAGTTACAGAATGAAAAATGATGTGATTACTGAATTTCACTCAGGCAGTAACTCTAATTTATAAACCGATCATAAATCAGATATAAAAATTATACTAATAACTAATCTATATTCGGCTTTCCATCTTCATAGATCCATTCGCCGGTTGAGATGCAATTGTAACTTCACTGACTTCATCCGTTTCCGATTGACTCGATGTGTCAGAAACGTCGTCTATTTCCTTTCTCTATATTTAAATTAAACGTATGTGCTTTTTTTATTTTAGTTTTGTATAAAATATATTTGTAAAATTTTATTACTATCCGCGAAAAACTGAAATGTTAAAAAAAATTGTGAAAAATTTACTTTAAAACTGCTTGACATGTTTACTTATATTTTTTTAAATATTATAATATATCAATCTGCAAATGTTCAATTCTCGTACTACTATATACATTAGTAAATATGCTTTATTTTCTGTAAAATTGATATATTGTTTTTCTATAAAGAAATTTTATTACATTATTATGCATTGTCATAAACAAATTACCACATAATAATGTGATAAAATTTCTTTATATTTTCTCTTATTATTAATTAAATATTATTCGCTTTACTTAATTATTTTACTTACTTTTTGGGAATGATGTATATTACGAAGAACTCTTTGAACATCCGGATTACTTTCTAAGGTGGAAGTCTGACTGGACGGAGGATGCGAATATTCGGAAGTATTTTCCTCATCAGAAGCTAATGCCCCCTGTATTCTCCCGGGTGTTATTAGTTTTGACCTTCGTAATCTGCATCCAGGACCGATTGGCCTCCTTGCGATACTATATAATATATTCAAGGAAATATATTTTAAGACGATTTCTTATTATTAAACGTAAAAATTTAAATAGCTGTTAAAATAAACAAAATCGGAAAATTTTTGGAAAAATCTATACCATAAAATTTTGCAGAAAAGATCTAATTTTTTTCCAAGATGTTGGCAAGATATTATTTGATATATACATATAAGTTCTTATTTAAATTAATTTTTTCAAATGTAAAATGTTCAAAAATTAACTTTTAAAAAGTACGAATTAAACTATTATTACATTGAATGTTTTAATATAGCTATAAAATATAAAATACTTATGGAAAAATATTGTATTCATTATTGATTAGAGTACCTTCTTCGTCTTAAGGAATAATTATAAGTATAGCTTGGATCTTCTCCCTCTTCATCTGACCAGCTTTCTTCACAAGCATCATCTTCGCGATCATCCGTATTATCTGAAGAGGCTCGTATTTTAATATCGGATTGTTCTACATAGTGCCCCGATAATTTGCCCGAATCTTCTTTATTCCTACTGTAAAGTTCAATTAATTTAATGAATATTAAATTATATTTATCAATGTGTTAATCCTTAAATGACATAATGTATTTTATGCAATATTGAAACAGTCTGGTTTCAAAAATTATTTCTGCTTAATGAAAGATAGAATAATAAAATAACTAATAAAAACCTAGTTTAAATAATTATAAATAAATATATCAAATATATATATAAAGTACATTTTTAAGTATTTGTTTCAGACTTAAGTATAAGTTATAATATTCTTTGAATGTTATATTATCACTAGTTGGTATAAATACCATCGATTTACCATATACTTAAGGATTAACTAATTTTACAACAGAAATAAGACATGTGTTCACGGATATTATTATGCCATACCTGTGGGAGATTATGACATCATCGCCATTTCCATTGTCAATGATAAGACGATTCGCATTAATAATTTCGCTGACTTTTCTGCCGAGAGTTTCAAGATTGTCGTCGTCGCTACAATCCTTCAAACGTTCGTTTCCATTAGCATTATTTTCATTTAAGTGCTCAGGACTAGAGCATGAACTAGTTTGCATCGGATAGTGCGTTTCCGGCAAAATTGAATTCCCATTTAAACATTCCGTCACTT